TTCTAGTGTTTTCTGTTGTTCATGGGAATTTTGTGTTGAATGTTTGGTTCAATTCCATCATTGGTGGAGTTCAGAATGCTCTTTGATTGTAAGTAAACTAAAAATCCCAGCAACTACAACTCCCAAATAACAAAATCACAATGTTTTGAGTGATGGTTACTCCTTGTGTTGTGAGACGTTTTGTTGCCAAATTTGGTGTGATTTCGTTAATTGGTTCTTTTGTTTTTAAGGTACTCATTTCGCACAGAGCATTTATATATATATAGATGTGCTATGTTTTTAACTGTATGTGTTTGACTTGGCCCCATGTAAACTGCCCCTAGTCCCTTCGGGGAGATGGAGGCAGGGTATAAAAATAAAGCTATATTATTATTATTATTATTATTATTATCTCACAAAATGGCATGTTTCACCAACATGAAATGTTTGGAAAGCTCTGCCTTAGGACTCCTGCCATGTATCAAATCAAATCATTTATTTCGGTCATTGACCAGCACAGGAAATAGAAGTCACACTTTCATACAAACTTGGTATGTTTGGTACATTAAAAATATAAACATAACTACTGAAGCACAATATGGGTGAGGGAGCGGAAGGGGAAACAGGGTAAAAACATACTATGCACAGATCCATCACCAAATTGTAGATTCAGGGAAGATTACTGGACACATAGTTAACTTTTGGGACTAGTAATTCCCTGACGGATATTGTATGCTGCTGCACAAAAGTTTGCAACATTGTAGGTTGTAGCTGAATTAGTATCTGCAAGTAGCAGGGAGGTATAAAATTGTCCTGAATGGCCTGGGTGCTTGTATATCAGAGGTAAGATAAGCCTGGCACGGATATACCATGTAAAATTCAGATTATCTGCTTTGAAGTTAAACTCAACCCCTTAGAAGAGATACAGACTCAGACATATTGTTCATGAGATGTATGGAGACACAACATACCTCACGAAAACTTGCCTTTATATATTTGAAAACATCTCATGAAAACATTTCATTTATATTTTTTTGGAATACATGATTTGTAAGATTTTTGACATTTTTAGTAACCATACTTTACTTATACTAATGATTATTACTGTTGCTAATTGGCACCTTTGCTGCATAAAAATGCATGCAAGTTTCAATTGCATGTTTCACATATACTATGAGATTTCTTGTATTTGCACAACTCATGCACAAACTACAACCGACACACTCACACCACACACATTTTTGGAAAGTGTGTTCTAAAGGATGCTGCAAATGTTTACATTTAGGTAAAATGCAGGAATGGGATTACAATGAATATAACCAGCTCTAAACTTTACCAATATAGGCAGTCCCCGAGCTACAAACATCTGACTTAGAAACAGCTCATAGTTAAGAATGGAGTGAGACAACAAGGCCATATAGCTTGGAAAGCTCACAGCAGCCAATTCCCTTTATTATCATAGAATCAAAGAGTTGGAAGAGACCTCATGGGCCATCCAGTCTAACCCCCTGCCAAGAAACAGGAAAATTGCATTCAAAGCACCCCCGACAGATAGCCATCCAACCTCTGTTTAAAAGCTTCCAAAGAAGGAGCCTCTACCACACTACGGGGCAGAGAGTTTCACTGCTGAACGGCTCTCACAGTCAGGAAGTTCTTCCTAATGTTCAGATGGAATCTCTTTTCTTGTAGTTTGAAGCCATTGTTCCGCGTCCTAGTCTCCAAGGAAGCAGAAAACAAGTTTCCTCCTTCCTCCCTATGACTTCCTCTCACATATTTATACATGGCTGTCATCTCTCCTCTCAGCCTTCTCTTCTTCAGGCTAAACATGCCCAGCTCTTTAAGCCGCTCCTCATAGGGCTTGTTCTCCAGACCCTATCTGTGTCTTCAAAAGGTCTGGGAAATTAAGGGCAACCCTATGCATTTCTTAAAGTTTTCTTAGGCCCTTTCCACACAGTTGAATAAAATTCAGTATTCAGTATTGTGTAACTATTTTACTAGAGGCTAGCAGATATTGCAGGCAGTGATTAACATAGGCGGCTAGTATAGACATTTCTTTAATTTAAATGTCACAGTGACCTTGATCTACTTGATAGACTGTGGAATGATTTATTTGATAGACAACTCCTTAATTTGGTTGCTTTCACTACATATGGTATATCTAATGGGGGAGAGAGTGCTGTCCTACCTTAGCTTTAACAACAAGATTGGAATGAGATTTCTTGTATTTGCACAACTCATGCACAAACTACAACTGACACACTCACACAACACACATTTTTGGAAAGTGTGTTCTAAAGGATGGTGCAAATGATTACATTTAGGTAAAATGTAGGAATGGGATTACAATGAATATAACTAGCTCTAAACTTTACCAATATCTCCTCCTATGAACCAGTTAGGACATTAAGATCGTCTGGGGAGGCCCTGTTCTCGATCCCGCCAGCTTCACAAGCACGCCTGGCGGGGACGAGAGACAGGGCCTTCTCAGTGGTGGCCCCTTGGCTGTGGAACGCCCTTCCTACAGAAATTCGATCGGCCCCCTTCCTATTGGCATTCCGGAGGAAAGTGAAGACCTGGCTCTTCGAACAGGCATTCGACTAGGCAGTGTAATTGATTATTGGAACACGGAATAAAGGATAATGAGACTGGATTCTGATTCTATCAATGAGACGTGATGGATTTGTTATATTGATATTTGATGTTTAATTAATTGTTTGCTATTGCTTTTAAATATCCAATGATTTTGTACTGTGTATATTGAAACTGTTGTTGTTAACCGCTCTGAGTCGCCTAAGGCATGAGAAGAGCAGTATACAAATGAAGTAAATAATAATAATAATAATAATATAGGCAGTCCCCGAGCTACAAACATCTGACTTGGAAACAGCTCATAGTTAAGAATGGGGTGAGACTACAAGAAGTAAGAGAAAACTTCTCCTCTGAAGGGAAATTCATTCCTGAAAGAGTTATCATGGGGAAAAGGTGTCTCCGCTGAAGCTTTTTCACCAATCCTTGTTTCCATAACAAGCCAATTTTTTTCAAAACCTATCTTGTTTGTAACTTGGGGACTGCCTATATATTGAATGTTGTTTCTTTAATGGCCAAATTATTGCATGAAATACTTTGAAAAGCTAAGCAATCAAAGCTTCTGATATACAGAGTGAATACACCAGCGTTCTTATAAATGTGGGTGGTGCATTCTTTATGATCATGGGTGGGAACTGAGCTTGAGATTTGCAATTCAAAAAGAGGAAGCATAGAATCAGAATTAGTATATCATGTGCAGCAATGTCTTTCTCCTAACACACAGTTGGAGTCCTGCTGCTCACCAGATCTATGTAAGCATTGTCTAGAATTTTCGTAACTTTAAATTCAGTGTGGCTGCTTATGGAAGAAATGCTTGCCAAGGCTGAGAGATCTTTAGCTTTCCAGATATTCAGAATTTAAAACTCTAAAACTTTCTTACTGTTGACCATGAAGGCCAAAAGAGCTAGATTTCAAAGCCTCAGAAGTTACAAACGTTCTTTGTACCTGATGTTGTCTAAGCAATAAATTTCTGGAGAGACACCCTATTTCTGATACTGAGTTGACTTCGTCTTCTAAAGTTTGAGCTGCATCATCTTTACTATTTCGTAGGTCATGCTTATGTGAATACTAGGCTTGGTTGATCCAGCTCGTTAATTTCTAATATCGTTATGAAATCGTAAATAAAATACCTTTAGAAGCAATATCGACGCGTTTTGGCAACCCGGAAGTGTTTTTGCCATATCGAAGGGAAGGAAAGGTGAGAGATTTTAAAAGTGTTAGTTCTAAAATCTCTCACCTTTCCTTCCCTTCCTGGCAAGCTGTCCGTCATGCAGAAGGGAGAGGTGGGCGTGGCCAAGCACAGCGCTCCTTGGAGGTCGCTGGGGGCGTGGCCTCCAAGGAGGGCTGTGCTTGTCCACGCCCACCTCTCCCTTCTGCATGACTGACAGCTTGCCGGGAAGGGAAGGAAAGGTGAGAGAAGCCCGCCGCAAGGGAAGGAAGGGAAACCACGAGATTTTAATGGTTCTGGAGGGAGGGAAGAGCACCTTCCATTAACGAAACAGAGGAAGCGATTCGTATTTCCTGGTACTTCCGATCTTTTTTTAAAGAAAATTTTGGAAATAATTTCAAAATTGAGCCACCAATGAGTTTAGAACCATTTTTTTCCCTTGATCAACCAAGCCTAGTGAATACGCATACATTCTCAGTTTTGAAATCTTACAAATACATATTATTTCAATCCTTACAACAATCCTATCAAGTACCTACTTATTGAAATTGTAGAGGATGCGGGTGTGTTTGTGTGTGTGTATGTGACAGAGAGAAAGCCAGAGAACAAGTTGCAAGGAGTTGTCTGGTTAGTTTATAGTTGACATTTAATTTAAGATATCATGCTTATCACCATCACAACATATTGATTTGCAGTAAATGCAGTTAGTAAACCTATACAAGAAGCAGGGAATATGAAATATTAATTACTCTATTTCTTCTATCTAAGACGCTCTTGTTTCCTATATAAACATATCTAAAAATGGGGTGCGTCTTAGAATCGCAGGCGTATCTTATGTATTGTTGGTACTGAAATTGAAGTGCCTCTTTCAGTTGTTGGTGTCTTAGAATAGATGAAATACGCTATGTTTCTCTGTAATTCTGAGAAGCTTTATATTTCCTTAACATTGCCACCCACAGTATGACACACTTAAGGGATTGATTATGTACAGATATTGTGGATTTAAATGGTGCAATAGATATTCATATATTAGAGAGTAAAAAGGCTTTGTAGAAAAATGAAAGTGTTTAATACTTTGTTTTAATTGTATTTGGTTGTATATGTTTTTATTTAATCCGGATCTCAATATTTTGTGAAGCTAACTATTTCCATTCTAAAGTAAAGTATTGCTAAGTGATGTGTGTCATTGGTTACATTTGTCTGGTTTCCATACTTGGAAGAGAAATGTATTTAATTTTCCAAAGCTGATAGTAGTTCCTGGTTTCAGGCCAAATTGATCAAGACCTCCATCCATCGCTGCTTTATTGCCTACTGAAGCTCTTGCAGAAAAGACGAATCGGGGACCATTTAAGAGTAGAGATGATCTTCAAGAAATTACCGCTCGAGGCAAAGGTTGCTGGAGTTGCTGGAATTGCCTTCTTCTCCATGGTCATTTCACGGACATGCCTGACTGAAATAATAGAGGCAAAGAGACTGAAGTGGCTGCTCCAACTCCAGATGGTATTATTTATTAATTCCCTGATGTTCATAGGATCCCTTCACATATGGAGAAGCTTGGTGACCGTGTTCCAGAGATCGTCAGCCACCAACACATTCTGTTTCGTTTTGTGGAAGATAGTTGTGCTGATCTTCCTGATTTTGTCACACTCAAGTTCTTTTGCATCGCTCTTTCTTGTTGCAGAGGAGCCTTATTTATTTTCCTTAGTTGCTTTCACCTGCATTGGGAGCTACTTCATCCTTATTTTCTTCCTGTTCAGCCTAGGGTCCCTTGAACAGGTTTATAAAATCATGGCCCAAAGAGATGCAAGGATGGCTATTAAAAATGGCAAATGGGCCATTAAGCCAGCTCTAGCAGTGATGATAACAGTTGCATTGACTTTCCTTGGGCTTCTCAATGCTTCACAACCTCCTGCAGTGAAGTCAGTAGCTATTCCTGTTGACAAATTGCCATTGTCTATGGACAACCTGAAGATAGTGCTACTTTCTGACATCCATCTAGGTCCCACTGTTGGGAAGACCAAACTTGAAATGATAGTAACAATGGTTAGAGCTTTAAAACCAGATATCACTGTCATTATTGGTGACCTAACTGATGCTGAGGTGAAACGCCTTGGAGCTGCTGTGGAACCTCTTGGCAAGCTTGAGTCCCCACTGGGGACTTACTTTGTCACTGGGAACCATGAATACTACACCTCTGATGTCAACAGTTGGTTTGAATTGCTGAAGTCACTCCAGATTCATCCCCTCCACAATGAAAACATCAAAATAAAGTCCCCAAAAGGTAGAGAAACTGACTGGTTTTGTATAGCAGGGGTCGATGACATAGAGGCTAATGCATTGCGTTATTCTGGACATGGGATGAACTTACAAAAGGCTTTAGGAGGCTGTGACACTGATCATGCAATTGTTCTTTTGGCCCACCAGCCGCGTGCTGCCAAACGGGCTCTCCAAGCTCATCCAGAGATAAATGTGATCTTATCTGGGCACACTCATGGAGGGCAGATATTTCCTCTGAACATTGTTGTCTATTTCATGAATCCCTTCTTTGTTGGTTTGTATAAAGTTGGGCAGAGCTCTTTCGTATATGTCAGCGCGGGGACCATGTACTATGGAGTCCCAATGAGATTGGGAAGTAGAGCAGAAATAACAGAGGTAATTCTGCATTCTCCCTCATCAGTGTAACAGCGTTGGGATATGTGCCTCTCCTTGGGCTGAAAGTCAGATCCCAAAGATTTATCATGAAGGTTCCTGAACAAGTATTTAGATCTACAAATCATTGTGCTTTCTCTTATTTAACAGCAAAACCACAATTCCTACTCTTGTCAAATTCTTATCTATGAGATGTACAGAATTACTGTGATAATTGGTTTAATTTATTTGGGCTATGCCACTTCTGAATCACCAAAGCAAAACATTGATGTACTGCAGCGTGTAAATAGCTGTTTTTCCATCCTCTAAAAATAATGATACAGTACATACATTCTCTGTAGGTATGTCATTTCCCCCCAGCTTCAGGTAAACTATCCATCTTTTCGCCTAATACTGGAAGCGGCCAACATT